GGGGACACATCTGGGAGCTTGAGTTCCTCCTGCAGGGGTCTTTCGTGTCCTGAAATCAGTGGGTTTGCTCTGCTTTGAGGGCTGTCGTGGAGGCACAGGAAAGAACTGTCCATCTGAATTGCCAAAGATGCACAGTTCTTGCTTAAGAACTGTCGTAATTGCTAAGGATGTTTTTAAACATCCACCAGACTGCTGCTCCTGGGAAAATGTGGCTCCGCAGGGATCTCAGGCTGCAGTCCCAGGACTGCTGTTGGCACAGTGGAAGTCACCACTTCAGTACCTTGGCTGGGCACTTTGTCCCTTCCTTGTGAAATTTCTGGGGGTTTAGGAGACTCTGGTGACCTGCTTCAGGGCTAAGCCAGCTGAAAATTAAAGCTGAGAACTTCCTGCTAGTTTTGAGCCTCATGAAATGGACTGCAGGCACTTCAGTCCATCAGGGTGGGACTGGCAGTGCTGAATTAGAACAGCCTAAACTGGGCTGGGACTGGGGGCTTCAGACAGAGCGCAGGAATTGGCCTGGGATTAGGGGAGTGGGGTGAATGTGGCCTTTAGGTGTGCTGTGGAGATGAAGCTTTTTACATTTTCAAATGATAAATGCAACTCAGAAAGTGTCTAAACATCCAGATATCAACAGCTTTTTAGACAAAATATGGAACACACAGTTTGGAAATCCCTGCTGTCTCCAGCACCCCAAATTTTTGTCATGTCGAACTTTCTCACTTAATGCTGCAGCCATTGAAAACAGCAAGATTTTCTGACAGTGGCTGATGCTGGATGGTGGAGGAGGCTGGAGAAATGGTTAAACAGGTCAAAACAACTAAAGTGTGTGTTTGGGGTGGGCAGAGCAAGTTCTGCAGGTGGGAGGATCTCTGCTCCACATCCACCCACCTCAGCCCCTGCTCCACCCCAAAGTGGCTGCACAGCCCTTGGCACAGACACCAAAGTCCTCCCTGCGGGGACAGACCAGAGCAGGGAAAAGGTGGCATCTTTTACCTGTTTGAAAGAAGTGGAGGTCATTTGTGACACATCTGGATGAATTCTTCATAACACAGGGGTGGGAGAAAGGCAGGTTATTATTAGCCATGGGGATGGCTCGATCCCTGCAGAAATCTCCCCTGGAAACGAAGGAAAACCAGGTAAAACCGAATCAATAGAAATCAGGGGGAGCCATGTGGGGGTTTGAACTCGGGGGGATCATCCCAGCAGGGCTGAGGGGCCATGAAAGGCAGCTCTTCAGGCGTGGGGGGTCTTGGTGTCCTCACCCCCCACCTCCCCCTAGGGGGTCTGAGGGTCTTGGGGTGTCCTTGTCCCCAACCCTGTGCTCTGGGTGATCTTGAGTTGTTCTCCAGGCTGGCAATGACCAAAGCAGCTGCAAGATTTGGGGGTCACAGGAAGTTTGGTGTCTCCACTTTGATGCTGTGTCCAGGATTTAGGGTCCTTGGCACAGACAATGTCCCAGAGTCGGTGGTGGGAAAAGCTGGGTTTAGGTGGGAAAAGCTGTTTTTAGGTGGGAAACCCCAGGTTTAGTTGGGAAAAGCTGGGTTTAGTTGGGAAAGGCTGGGTTTAGTTGGGAAAAGCTGGGTTTAGGTGGGAAAAGCTGGGTTTAGGTAGGAAAAGTCAGGTTTAGTTGGGAAAGGCCGGGTTTAGGTGGGAAAAGCTGGGTTTAGGTGGGATAAGCTGGGTTTAGGTGGGAAAGGCTGGGTTTAGGTGTTGCCTTGGGACAGTGAGTGAAACATTGGGAATTCTGGTGCTGACAGGGGTTCTGCAGCTTCCACAGAAATTCCCCTTTGCTCTGCCCTTGATGAATCTGAAAGAGCTGGAGTCAGTTTGGGGTGAGCCCAAGACTCGAGAGGGATTGAAAAGATGGTGGGGGGAGCCAGGGGGTGACTGGGAGCACTGGGAGTGAACTGGGAGCACTGAGGAGAGTCTGGGAGTGACACGGGGATGGCACTGGGAGCACTGTGGGGAGACAAGGGGTGGGACTGGAGGCGCCGGAGGGAGCAACACTGAGTCCAGCAGGAGTGAACTGAGAGTCAGCTGGGAGCACTGGCTGGAACTGGGAGCAGGGAGGGGAACCAGGGAATCCTACTGGGAGCGCTGGTTGGAACTGGGAGCAGGGAGGGGAACCAGGGAGTCCTGCTGGGAGCTGTGAGGAGAACTGGGAGCACTGAGTTGAGATGCTGGGAGCACTGGGAGGGGGCACTGGGAGCAGTGGACACTCCAATCACGTGTCCCTCTTGTTCAGCTCCCCCCTGGCTGGGCAGGTGGGGAGGGGTCGGGGGGTCCCCGGGGTTTTTGGGTGCCCCCAGCAGTGAGGGTTTGATTGACAGCTGGGGGGAACAGACAGAGGGGGGGCTGGGGATGCTGGCATTGAGTTCCCCCTTCCCCTTGAACGCCCCAATCTCCACCCATGGCAGCTCCTGGATGCCCTGTCCTGGTGCTCAGACCTGCCCGTCCTCGCTGGTCACCCGATGGTGACACTGCCAGCAGTGGGACACGGGGGGTGGTGCGGGAGGAGCGGAGCCTTGACCCAACCCAGACCCTTCCCCCACACACATCCCCAGCCCCACTGAGTCCCAAAACCTCCCGGTCCCTCTTATTTCCGCGGGTCCCTGTCACTTCCCTGGATCTTTTGTCCCTTCCCAGAGACCTTGTCCATGGCTGGCTTCACTCGTCCCACTCCCAGGGGCCCCGATGGGGAAGGGGGGTATCTGGGGCGAAGAGGGCAAGGAGCAGAAGGAGGGTGTGGTGACAGCCGTGGAGGTGCCACCATGAGCGTGGCAGTGCCAGCAGACACGTGGCCATAGGGTGGCAATGCCAGAGGGTGTGACAGTGTGACAGTGACAACTTGACGTGGGGCCAAGCTGGGCTGGCTCCGTGTCTGCCCTGTGGGGACGGCGACCATGGGGCATGGCCCGGTGCCACCATCAGTGGCAGTCCTGGCACGGGGACACGCAGGAACAGCCCCTGGGGACAGGGAGGACCGGGCACCACAGGGGGCTGTGCCAGACCAGCACCTTCCACCCCACACCCCAAAATTCATCACCCCCCACCCAACACCATCATCACCCCAAAATTCATTGCCCCCCCAAACTATGACAGCCAAACCATCCCCATCACTGCCCATCCATCACTGTCAACCCCAAAATTCATCACCCCCCACCCATCATCATCACCATCCCACAACCCATCACCCCCCACCCATCACCCTCAAAACCATCCCCATCATCACCCCCCACCCCTCATAACCACATAATCCCTCAGCCCCCACCTGTACCCCCCTCACCTGCCCCATCCTGCACCCCCAGCTCTGCCCTGGCCCCGCTGTCGCCGTGTCCCCTCCTCCTGCCCACAGAGTGCAGGTACCGTTGCAGGGGTGGCCTTGTCCCCTCGTGTCCCCTCATGTCCCCTCGGGTCCCTGTGGCTCTCTGGGCACTTGGAGGGGGAGGAAAATCCCCCCTGGAACAGCGACCAGGGCACACTGGCCTTGGGGACATCCCTGTCACCCCCGGTGTTGGGGTGGCTGTAGGAGTGTGCCCAGCGCTGGCCCCTCGGGACCCCCGCCCCTTTAGGTGTCCCCTCCGGGGGGGGCGGCAACTTGTAGGTCTTCAGTAGGGCGGGGGACCAGGGGCGGAGGGGTGGGTGGGCTTCCACCTCCAGAAGTTGGGGTGGAGGAGGAAATTTGGGATTGGGGAGGGAAATTTGGGATGGGGAGAGTCGTGTTTGGGGGGGTCCACGGGCTGAATTTGGGAGTGGTGGGGTGGGGGGAGGCATTTTTGGGGCTGGATTTGCAGTTGTGGGGTGGGGAGAGGCATTTTGGGAGTCCCTGGGTGGGCATGGGATGGGGGGGAGTCATTTTGGGTAGTCCAGGGGCTGGATTTGGGCATGGTGGGGTGGGCATCCCCAACCTGGCATCCCCACCTTGAGGGGGTCCCCAATATTTAGGGTTCCAAATCTGCCCATCCAGGTGTCCCAAATTTGTGGGGTCCCACATCTCCGAGGTGCCCCTGCCCACCCAGGGGTCCCAATTTTTGGGTTCTCCTCCCCACCCAGTGGCTGTCCATGCCAGCCCCCATGCCGGGGACAGGGGGACAGGGTGCCGGGGGGACAGAGTGACATGTGCCCCACCCGGCCCGTGCCCCGGGAGCAGGCGGGACCGGATCCTTCCCCCCCGCTGCCCCGAAACCTGGGGACATCCCTGAGCCCCCCTTTGTTCCCCGAGGTGGCACCTGCGCTTTTTGTCACCGCCACCCGCCAAATTTGTCACCAGCGCCCCAAAGCGAGGGTGGCCCACATCCTACGGATAGGAGGGGAGACAAGATTTTTGGGGCCACCCCCCGCCGCTTCCACCCTCCACATCCCCCCGAGGATGCTGCCCCGCGCTGCCCCGGCCGTAGCATCCCCCGAGGGGAACTTGGGGACTTTGGAGAGTGTCCCCGTGTCCCCCCACCCCGGTCCCCGCGGCACCTCCGCTGCTGCCCGCGCTCGGCCCCGGCTCCTGCCGCAGCTTCCCCAGGTGACTGGGCAGGAGTTTCAGTCACACCCTCACCTCCTCCTTCTCTGGGAGGTGATGTCACTTCTCCCGCTGGGGACACGCCGGTGACACCAGGGGGACACGGAGGGTCACCCCTCGGAAGGACTGAAGGGTCGAGGTGGCTCCTGGAGCCCCCCGATATGACAGTGGGGGGCCTGGGATGCTGCGATGACAGTTTGGAGGGGTGGGTGCTCATTTTGGGGTCTCCAGGGTGGCTCCGGAAGTCCCCTCCCAATATCTCAAAGTCACCCCCACCCTGTGCCTCAGTTTCCCCCTGATTCTGCAGGGACCACCAGGCACTGATGTGTAGTAATTACAAATCTGCTGTACAGAGAGAGACATAGCTCTCCCAGGATTTTAGAAGCTGTGGGAAACTTACAGGAAAGAATTCAAACAATGATTATCTCTCTTTCTGTAACCATTGTTTATAGATAGAGTTCTACAGAGTATGCTGTTCATAGTTCACCAACAGTGTGAGAGAAGATTCCTAAAAGCCAATCGAGTCTTAGGTCCACCACTGTTTCTATAAGAACTGTAAATTTCTAATAATAAAGTGTCTTTTCATGCCTTCTGAAGATAGTCTCTGTATCACCTTTAGCTGTCCCCAGTAGCCCTTTGGTGATACTGATGTTCTGGAATTGAGTTTATTTTGGGGGGTTTGGGAGTTGGGGCTACTGGGATGTGCTGGTGGGCCAGTGAGGTGGGCCAGGGTGTGGCCAGGCAGGTGGTGATCTGGGCTGGAGGCTATCCAGGCTGGGTGCTGCAGGGCCAGGATCGTCCAGAGCAGAGTCCAGCTGACATCCATGGCTCAGGTGTCCATCTGGACCATGGTCTGTCCAGCTGGGATCCAAGGCTCGGGTGTCCATCTGGACCTGTGTCCATCCAGACTGGGATCCAAGGTTCTGGTGTCCATCCAGACCAGTGTCCATCCAGACTGGGATCCATGGCTCTGGTGTCCACCTGGACCAGTGTCCATCTAGACTGGGATCCATGGCTCTGGTGTCCATCCAGACCTGTGTCCATCCAGACTGGGATCCAAGGCTCTGGTGTCCATCCAGACTGGGATCCATAGCTCTGGTGTTCATCCAGACTGGGATCCAAGGCTCTGGTGCCCATCTGGACCCGTGTCCATCCAGACTGGGATCCAAGGCTCTGGTGTCCATCCAGACTGGGATCCACAGCTCTGGTGTCCATCCAGACTGGGATCCAAGGCTCTGGTGTCCATCCAGACTGGGATCCATAGCTCTGGTGTTCATCCAGACTGGGATCCAAGGCTCTGGTGCCCATCTGGACCCGTGTCCATCCAGACTGGGATCCAAGGCTCTGGTGTCCATCCAGACTGGGATCCACAGCTCTGGTGTCCATCTGGACCCATGTCCAACCTCTCCTGCCCACGTCCATCCCGGGCTCCCTGGCTGGGGCCCCTCCTCACTGCAGAGTGGACAAGACCCACGGTGAGTCCCAAGATGACCCCAAACCCCCTCCCAGCAACCCCACCAGGCCACCCACCCTGAGCATTGGTGCCACCAGTGTCCCCTGGAAGCCGGGCCAGCTCTGGATCTCCTGGAAGAGAAGATCCACAGTCCTGGGCCGGGGACTCGAGGGCATCCAGGATGGTGAGCACCAAATCCATGTGGCACAGTGGGGATAGCTGGGGTCATGCCTGGGGGGACAGGGGGTGACTGGTGAGGGGAGTTAAGGGCTGGGAAAGGGATTGAGTGGGGGGGATGCATGCAAAAAAGTACCAGAAGCAAGGGCTGAGTTCCCAAAATTGGGGGAAAGGATCCAAACCAGAGGGGAAAGCACTCAAAATAGGAGGGAAAGGATCCAAAATGGGCGGGGAAGGACCCAAAACATGGGGAAAGGGCCAGGACCCAAAATCAGAGGACAGTGGTTGTCACGGGGTCACAGGATGTCACAGGGTGTCACAGGGTGTTGTGGTGTGTCCCTACCTGTGCGGGGGGGGCACAGACGCTCAGCACCAGGAGCAGCCACGGGAACATGCTGAGGGACAGAGGGACACCCTGCTCCGGGCCAGGGACCTTGGGGACTTTGCCCCAGCGGGAGCGGGGAACAGGGACATAGTGGGAGGGACTGGGACACACAGAAGGGGACAAGAACAATCGGGGGAGATGGGGACAGGGACTCGCAGGGGGCACAGGGACACACAGAGGGGTGACAGAGAGCCATGGCAGGGGATGGGGACAAACAGAAGGGACATGATGCTACCAGGACACACACCAGGGGACAACGTCACCACACCTGTGGGGACCCTGCCACCAGGACACCTCCAGTGACACCCAGCATGGGCCCACATGACCCCTGTGGGTGACACTGACCCCTGCCCTGTCCCCAGGGGTGGTTGGGGTCCCCTGAGCGCAGTGGCCCTGGGACACCCTGGTGGCTGTCACTTGCTCCTGAACCACTTGTCACCAGCTGAACCAGTTCCCATCCTGCCCTGGTAGGGGTGACATTCAGCTGGGACATCACAATGGTGGCAGGGGGGCTGCGGTGGCAGGAACTGCATCAGGCAGCGCTTCACCTTGGCTGAGATGAAGGTGCTGGTGCTGGCAGCACTGTGGTGGCACAATGGTGGCATTGATGCTGTCCCACTTCATGTTTCCATTCATGTTCTTGTCCTCCCATGTCACCATCCATGGCTGTGTCCCCCCATGTCCCTATCCATGGCCATTTCCAACTCAGGTCCCCACCCATGGCTGTGTACTCACATGTGCCCATCCATGCCATAGTTCCATGTCTTTATTTTTACCCCAGTTTCAGGGCTTTCAAAGGTATGAACAGAAACCTTTGTGTTTGAAGGCCAAAACAAAAGGATTTATGTGTCCCTGCCAGCAGAGCATCCACATGCTTGGGTGGATGGAGAGAACTTTTTTTGGAGGGGTTTCTACCCCACTGTCTCCAGAACCATGGGTTTTGCCCCAATCCAACCCCATTTGGCTGTGGAAAATTCCCATGGGCCAGAGAGAACTAAAAGGATGGATTTATGTTGGAGAAGACCTCCGAGGCCATCCAGTGTTACTTGATGCGATCAAAAGATGCAAAAAGTGAGATTTTTCTGGGGTCAGAAGTTGACAAATCTGCTCTCCACAATGGATTTCTGATGTTGGTCAGTGGATGTGTCCAGGTGTCCACAGGGAGCCAGGAGGATGTGGAGCCCCCAGCCAGGTGTCTTCCAAACATGGATCACCAGCACCACAGATCACTGGGGCTCTGCCCCAGCACTGGGGGTCACTGGGGATCATCCAGCGCGGATCCTCCCGTGGGGGATGGAGTTGGGGAGCTGGAGCAGCACACAAAGCTGCTCCCGCACTCGGGGCACTCCCACGGCTTCCCTCAGTGCTGGCTGCGTTGGTGTTGGGTCAAGGCTGACCTCTGTGAGAAGCTCTTCCCACACTGGGGACACTCATAGGGCCTCTCCCTGGTGTGGATCCTCTGGCGGGCAGTCAGGTTTGAGCTCTGGCTGAAGGTCTTCCCACACTCCCCACACTCGTAGGGCCATTCCCCTGTGTGGCTCCTCTGGTGGGCAGTCAGTTCATAGCTCGTCTTGAAGCTCTTCCCACACTGGGGACACTCGTAGGGACTCTCCCCGGCGTGGATGCGCCGGTGCCTCACGAGGGTGGAGTTGTGCCTGAAGCCCTTCCTGCAGTCGGGCAGCGGAAGGGCCTCTCCTCTGTGTGTGTGCGCTGGTGCAGGAGGAGACTGGAGCTGGTCTGAAACCTTTTCCTGCATTTATCACACTCGTAGGGCTTCTCCCCTGTGTGAATCTTCTGGTGGCGGATCAGGCTGGAGTTGTAGGCGAAGCTCTTCCCGCACTCCCCACACTCATAGGGTCGTTCCTTCGTGTGGCTGCTCTGGTGGATTATCAGGTTGGACCTCAAACTGAAGCTCTTCCCACACTTGGGACACTCACAGGGCCTCTCTCCGGTGTGGATGTGCTGGTGCCTGAGGAGGCTGTACTTGTCCCTGAAGCCCTGCCTGCAGTCAGGGCAGCGGAAGGGCCTCTCCTCTGTGTGCGTGCGCTGGTGCTGGAGGAGATTGGAGCTGATCTGAAACCTCTTGCTGCATTTGTCACACTTGTAGGGCCTTTCCCCGGTGTGGCTCCTCTGGTGGACAGTTAGGTTGGATCTGGCTGTGAAGCTCTTCCCGCACTCAGGACATTCGTAGGGCCTCTCCCCAGTGTGGATGCGCTGGTGGCGGATCAGGTTGGAGTTCTGGCTGAAGCTCTTCCCACACTCCACACACTCATAGGGCCTTTCTCCAGTGTGGATTCCCATGTGGGAGTTCAGGTGGGATCTCCATCTGAAGCTCTTTCCACATTGCCCACACTCGTAGGGCCGCTCCCCAGTGTGGATTCTAAAATGATTGATCAGGTAGGATCTCTTTCTGAAGCTCTTCCCACATTCGGAGCACTTGTAGAGCTTCTGCCTATTGTGAAGCTGCTCAGGGACCCCCAGCTCTGAGCTCCAGCCGCCTCCCTGGCTCAGGGTGGGTCTTTCCTCCTCAGATCCCCGTGATCCATGTTTGCAGCCCCTCCTCCTGTGGGATCTCCAGGGCTTTTCCTCCCCATTGGATTCCTGTGCTGTGCAGCTGCTCAAAACGGCCTCTTCCACGAGGTTCTGCTTTGGGGATTTGTCCTCCCTGCTCTCCATCCTCAGCGCCTTGTCTGCAGGAGGAAGGACAAGGAGAGGATGGGATTTGCCTCCGTGCAGAGGGAAGGAGAAGGAGATCCCCCCAGTCCATCCCCAGCAGGACAGCGTTGGCAGCAGGGTTGTCCTGCAGCCGGGGGCTGGGAGATGGAGCAGGAGAGAGGGGAAAAGGGGCACTGACTTCCTCCTTACCTGCCTCAGTGTCCCGGGGCATCTTCCTCCTCCTCGCAGCGTCGTTCTCCTCCTCCATCGGGCCGAAGTTTGGGAATGGGAAATCCTGGTTTGGGGGGCAAAATAAGGGCTGAGCGTGTTGGCTCTGATGGTGCCGCCGCCCAAGGGCAGCAGGAGGTCATCGCCCCTTGCAGCCTCGGGGGGCCCGGAGCCCGCTCATCCCAGCCTCCCCCACTCCTCCAGGCTTCCAGGGGCTCCTCTGCACCGGGTTCGCCCCTCTCCGGGGAGCTCTCTCCAATCCGAGGCTCCCGCCTTGGCCCCGGCTCTCTCGGGGATCCCCAAAGCCGGTATTGCCCCCTCCGTGCCGGGACAGGGCAGGGCCATTTCCGGCTCAGCTTTGGGGTTCTGCAAGATCCAAACATCCCCTGCCCCGCAAAAAAACCCTCCCGGAGACCCCCGCGATGGATTTGGGGCGACTCCCCCTCCCGCTCACCTGCGGCGCCGGGGGGCGATGCCGGCGGAACCGGGGCAGCCGCGTGGTGCTGCTACTGCTGCTCCTCTCCCGCTCCTCCTTTTCCCTCCTCGTCCTGCTCCTTTTCCTCTCGATCCTCTCCTTCCCTTTCCTTTTTCTTTTCCTCTCTCCCTCCTCTCCCTGCAGCTCCCGCTCCGCTCCCAGCCCGGCCCGGGCGGTGCCGACACTCAAAAGCAGCCGCGCTCTGCCCGGGGGGTTCCAAAGCGGCCCCGCCCCGCCCGGCACTGGGAGCGACAGTGGGAGGGCTGGGAGCGATGGTGAGAGAGCAGCGGGCAGGAACTGGGAGCGCTCTCCCTGCCAGTCCCGCTCTTACTGGGAGCGATGGTGAGAGCACCGGGCAGGAATGGGGAGCGCTCTCCCTGCCAGTCCCGCTCTTACTGGGAGCGATGGTGAGAGCACCGGGCAGGAATGGGGAGCGCTCTCCCTGCCAGTCCTCTCTTGCTGGGAGCGCTATGAGCGATGGTGAGAGCACCGGGCAGGAATTGGGAGCGCCCTCCCTGCCAGTCCCGCTCTTACTGGGAGCGCTGGGGAGGAACTGGGAGCAAACAGCGCCGGGACGCGGCTGCAGCCGGCTGGGGGCGGGGCCGAAGCGAAGGGCGTGGTTATGCAAATACAGGAACGATCGCGCGCTGGGGTTGGTGGGCGGGAGCAGCGCGGGCGTTCCTCGGTCACGTGAGGGCCGCGGGAGGACCGGAGCGATGGCGGCGGCGTCCGGTGAGAGGGGACAGGGAGCGGGAATGGGAACAGGGAATGGGGACAGGAAGTGGGAATGGGGACAGGGAGCGACAATGGGGACAGGGACCGGGAATGGGGACAGGGAATGGGAATGGGGAATGGGAGCGGGAATGGGGACAGGGAGTGGGAAGGGAGCAGAACTGGACCGGGAGTGGGGTGACAGGGGAATGGCCGGGGGGAAGGGGAATGACAGCGGGGAGAGGGGCATCCACTACAGGGGACACCGGGAAGTGGGACATGGGGACAGTTCCAGGGCAGGGGGTCCTTGATCAGCTGCCCCAGAACCTCCACCAGCATCTTCCAAAGCAACTGGAGCCACTTGGCCTGGTGTCCCCAAAGTCCTGAGCAACCCCCAAGTCCTTCCCAGGAGCCCTCAACTCCCTCTAAGCAAGCATGCCCCACATTCCCTGGAAGATCTCCCCATGTCACTGTGCATGGCCATGCACCCACCATGTCCCCATCCATGTTTTACTTCAACATCTTTATTTTTACCCCGGTATTGGGTGTTTTGAAAGGATGAAGATATCTGAAAAGAAAATCCATGCCACGGGGAGTCAGGAGGATGTGGAGCCCCCATCCAGGTGTCTTCCCAACATGGATCACCAGCACCATGGATCACCGGGGCTCTGCCCGCCGGGGTCACTGGGGATCATCCAGTGCAGAGCCTCCCGTGGGGGATGGAGCTGGAGCAGCGCACGGAGCTCTTCCCACACTCTGGGCACTGGCAGGGATTCCCTTGGTGGTACCTCTGTTGGTGTTTGGTCAAGGCTGAGTGCTGGGTGAAGCTCTTCCCACACCAGGGACACTTTTAGGGCCTGGGACATCAGCAGGAGCAGGGCTGGGACGTGCTCTGTGCCTGGGACATCAGCAGGAGCAGGGCTGGGACGTGCTCTGTGCCTGGGACATCACCAGAGCGGGGCTGGGATGTGCTCTGGGGCCTGGGACATCACCAGAGCGGGGCTGGGATGTGCTCTGGTGCCTGGGACATCACCAGCAGCAGGGCTGGGATGTGCTCTGGTGCCTGGGACATGACAAGGGTGGTGCTGGCCGGGGTTTCTGTGGTGCCTGTGCAGTCCCAGGCAGTTTCACAGGGCAGCTCTCAGTGTCCCCAGCAGGTCACGCTGTCCAGTGCAGCCCGTGCCAGCGCTCACTGCGCACTCGGGGCAGGCTGGGCTGGACGGGGCTCGGGGCACAAACGCCGCCCCGGGACTGGGCTCTGCCCCTGCCTCTGGGGCCAGCCCTGCTGGGAGCGCCCTGGGCAGGGCACGGGCCTGCTGCTGGCCCGGGGGGACAGGCCTTGCCCCCTGACAGCTGCCCGGGCCCTTCTGCCCTGCCTGTCCCACGTCCCTGTGCCTCCTGTCCCCACTACTCCCCGCCACCTTCACTCCCTCCATCAAAGCCCCTCAACCTCTTCACGGTGGCCTCTGGAAAGAACAAAAGAATAGGAAAGAAAGAATGAGGGAAAGGTAGGAAAGGAAAGGAAAGGAAAGGAAAGGAAAGGAAAGGAAAGGAAAGGAAAGGAAAGGAAAGGAAAGGAAAGGAAAGGAAAGGAAAGGAAAGGAAAGGAAAGGAAAGGAAAGGAAAGGAAAGGAAAGGAAAGGAAAGGAAAGGAAAGGAAAGGAAAGGAAAGGAAAGGAAAGGAAAGGAAAGGAAAGGAAAGGAAAGGGAGAAAAATAAAAAGAGAAGAGAAAAAGAAAAGAAAAAAGAAAAGAAAAGGAAAAAGAAAGAAAAGAAAAGAAAAGAAAAGAAAAACCCATGTAGCCGGTTGACCGTGGCTGGATGCCAGGCACTCACCAAAGCTGCTCACTCCCCTCCACAGATAGACAGAAGAGAGAAAATAGAATGAAGGCTTCACAGGTTGAGATAAAGACTAGGACAGATCCCTCAGCAGATGCCATCATGGGCAAAACAGGTTCAAAATTAGAGACATTAATTGAATTTATTGCTATCAAAATCAAAGCAGGATAGTGAGAAGTAAAATAAAGCTTTAAGAAAACCTTCTGCCCAGCTCTGCCTCCTCCCCCAGTGGGCACAGGGAGACAGGCAGTGGGGGTTCTGCTGAGTTCATCACTCCTTGTTTCTCCTGCTGCTCGGGAGAGGAGTCCTTCCCTGCTGTGCCAGGGGTCCCTCCCCCAGACACTTCTCCATGAACTTCTCCCGGGTGAGTTCATCTCAGGGACAGCAGCTCTTCACAAACTGCTGCAGCGTGCCTCACACTCCCATGGCCTCACAAGTCCTGCCAGGCCCCTGCTCCAGCCTGGGCTCCTCTCTCCACGGGTTTGCAGGTCCCTGCCAGGTCCCAGCTCCAGCACAGCTTTCCCGTGGGGTCACAGCCCCGCTCAGGCACCCCCTGCTCCAGCACGGGCTCCTCCAGGCGCTGCAGGTGCATCTCTGCTCTCCCTGCCCTCCATGGGCTGCAGGGCCCGGCTGCCTCCCCAGGGACTGCCCCAGGGAATCTCAGGGCAACCAGCTCCACACCTGGAGCAGCTCCTGTCCCTCCTCCTGTCCTGCCCTGCTCTGGGATGTGCAGAGTTGTTCCTCTCACATGTTCTCACCCTGCTCTTCCCTGCTCACAGTTACAGCTTCACGATCGCCCACTTTCTTTTTCTTAAATCTCTTTTCCCAAAGGTGTTACCACCATTTCCAACTGGCCCAGCCTTGGCCAGTCCATCCTTGAGCCAGCTGGAATTGACTCTGTGGGAGATGGAGGAGCAGCTGCTTCCAGCCTTTCACAGAAGGTGCTCCTAGAGCTCCCCCTTACCCAAATCTGGCCATACAAACCAAGTATAAGTATGGTAGGGTTTTTATTACCATTATTAATTCTTATTGCTATTGTCACTATTATTGCTATTAACATCAAGTTATTATTTTTATTACTACTAATATTTTTATTTGTAGCATTTTTAGTATTTTTGACTCTATATTTGTAAATAGCGGCTACAGTAGAACTATAAAAACAAAAGTTCTTAATTTCAAGTAGAAGTTATAATTTCGTCAGCCTCTTGCCCTGCCCTGTTCTGTGTCATTGCTGTGTGTGAAGCCACTGCTGCTGGGGCTCCCTGCTTCCCTGGTTTGGGAAAGTCCATGGCATTGCTCACATGTCAGAAAGGGAGGTCTCCTTCCAATCAAATGCATTGCCTGAGCTCTTCTAGTCCCAGTGCTGGAAGCTTGTTTTCCAACATTGTTGACTTTCTCAGCTTCTGTTAATATTTGTAATTTTAGAACAAAATGTTCTCGAATTTTTCAAGACTCTGTAATCAGCTGACTCTTTTGCTCTTGGATTTCTTAATGGTGTGTCAGAACTGAATGTAGCATTTTGGGTGGGAAGTCTTCAGTGGGAGCTAGGATTGCCTCAGCAGCAGCTGGTTGTGCACATGTGAGCAGAGATAACAGATGCCAGAAACTGAATGTTCCCTGGTTGGGAACCCGCAGTGCCGGCTCCAGGGAGCTGCGCTGGGAGCTGCAGCTTGTGCTGGGGGCGGGCAGCGGCCGGAGCCCGGCAGGGGCCGGCGATGGACACTGACCCTTCGCTGGGCAGGGCTCGGGGCCGGTCACAGCGGGACTCTGCGGGAGCCAGAGCGGCGAGAGAGCCCGGGCCGAGCATCAGCAGCGGGCGGGCACGGGCTGGGAGGGGGCACAGCCCGGGGGTCCCGCAGAGCCTCCCGGCTCCAGAGCCGCAGCTGCGACAGCGGGACAGCTGCCGGGATCTCTGGGGCACGGAGGAGCCGCAGGCGGGCGTTCCAAGGGCCTCCTTCGGGGCAGGATTTTGTCCCGGTCATTTCGGGCAATTGCCGCGGGCTGGTGCCGCTGCCGGAGCTGGGGACCCTCTGCAGCCTGTGGGGTCGGACATCCACGTAAGGGGGACCCTCGGGAGCCTGGAACGTGAAGCCCAGATAGGGGGAACCCCGGCAGCCTGGAGATGTTGGGACCATGGACAAGGGAGACCCATGGGTACCCCGGGGCCGTGAAACGGGGACCCCACACAGGCTGAACCCCTGAGCCCCACTGATACCCACAGGGGCAGCCCAGAGAAGGGAACCTCTGGGATTGCCAGGAGCCCCAGCAGCCCAGAGAGAGGGGATACCAATACACACTGGAGTTGCAGAAGCCCAGACAGGAGGGAGCCCCTGAACCCCAAAGTAGGGAGACCAGAGAGGGGAACTCCTTGGTGGGTGTTTTTTTGCTGAATCTTGGTGGTTTGGGGTTTTTTGAGGGTAGCTGAATCTTGGTGGTCTGGAGGTTTTTATGGGCACGAGACACCTGGTGACTGCTAGAGATGGACTTGGGCAGGAGGAACAGCCAAGCCAATGCACTCACATCTTGTTTTCCCCCAAAACAGAAATTCCAGTTCCCAAAGTTTGGGCACATGGAGGAGGCTGCGAGGAAGAGGAAGATGTCCCAGGACACCCAGGCAGGTGAGGAAGAAGTCACTGCCCCTTCCTCCCTCTCTCCTGCTCCATCTCCCAGCCCAGCACAGCCCCCGGCTGCAGGACAGCCCTGCTGCCAACGCTGTCCTGCTGGGGATGGATTGGGGGGATCTCCTTCCCCTTCCCTCTGCACGGAGGCAAATCCCATCCTCTCCTTGTCCTTCCTCCTGCAGACAAGGAGCTGAGGATGGAGAGCAGGGAGGACAAATCCCCACGGCAGAACCTCGTGGAAGAGGCCGTTTTGAGCGGCTGCACAGCACAGGAATCCAACGGGGCGGAAAAGCCCTGGAGATCCCACACGAGGAGGGGCTCCAAACCCAGCCCAGGCTGCTCTGAGGAGGAAAGACCCACCCTGGGCGAGAAAGGTGGAAAGAGCTTCAGAAAGAGCTCAGAGCTGGTTGTCCATGAGCATCTTCATGGCAGGGAGAAGCCCTACAAGTGCTTGGAATGTGGGAAGAGCTTCAGTCAGTGCTCCAGCCTCCTCACCCATGTTCGGGTGCACCTGGATGGAACTCCCTTTGAGCAGGGCCAGATTTGAGCTGGAATATTGGGATTCTCAGAGCCAGGCTAGCGAGTGTGCTCAGCACATCCCCTGCCAACCTGGAGATGCTGCAAGTCCAGCACAGTCAGAGCAGGGGTGAGTAGGGGGAGCCAGGGGCTGGGGGCATGTTTGTGGGGCTGGGATGGGAGTTGTCCTCCTGCTCCTCACCATCCTGTGCTTCCCAGAGCATAGTCACTCCCAGTATGATCCCAGTTGCCCTCAGCATGATTCCAGTTGCTCCCTGTCCCTCCCAGTGAGATACCAATGGCCTCTTGCATAGTCCCAGTCACTCCCTGTATGATCCCAGTCTCTTCCACCAGGGTTCCAGTCACACCCAGTTTCCCTCAGTGTAGATCCAGTCACTGCCACTTGCTCCCAGTTGCCTCCAGCATGGTCCCTATTGTTCCCAGTGTGGTCTCCGTCACTCCCAATAATGTTACAGACACTCCCAATATATCCCAGTTGCCCTCAGCATGCTTGGAGTCATTCCCAGTCACTCCCAGTATCATCTCCATATGATCTCAGGAGAGCCCAGTCACTTCCAGTAGGAGCCCAAAGCTCATGGAACACCTGGAGGACCCACCCGGAGGAAGATCTCTACAAGTTCTCTGGCTGCAGGAAGAGCCCCAAGGAATGGAGGTCCCACTAAAGCCACCACCCGAAGAAGGAGGTGGTGACAGCTCTGCATCCTAGGGCCCTGGGACCACCAGGGGGGCCCCCAAACCAACACAACAGCAAGTGGCTCATACAGGCCTTCATCCTGTCTTCAGAATCCCACTCTTGGCATCCCTCATCCTTCTCTGCAGTCCTCCCTCTAACATCTCTAAGCCTCTGGGAAGAGCCCAAAGGGATGGAAGTGCCCAAAAAGCTGCTGAAGTGCCTGAGCTGCTCCCAGCTGTGGATGTTCCTGTCCGCAAACCTCTACTGGTCAGTGCCATGGGGGGCTGGGAAGGAGTTTAGGGGATCCTGAGAGGATTGGAAGGGGTTTTGGTGTCTCTTGGCTGCATTTGTGGTGCTGGGAGCAGGTTAAGGGGGCTTTGGAGGGGTCTGTGGGAGAGTTTTGGGAGTTCTGGAAGGGCTGTGTGGCTTGGAGAGAACTTGGATGGGTCTTGGGAGAGGTGGGAAAGAGTTTTGATGGATCTTGGGGCCATTTCTCTTGCACAGAGTGGTTTGGGGTATGGGGGCAGCCAGGATCTGTGGGATGGTTTGAGGGAGCTGGGAGTGGCAGTGGGGCTGGGAGAGGGTTTTAGGGCAGTCGTGACCCCGCAGACACCCAGAGCTGCTGCCAGAGCCTGCCCACAAGGTGCTGCCGAGGGACAGGGGCTCCATGTAGGGGTTTGTCTTCCTGGCACCACGGGAGTGAGGGGGGATCCCCAGGGGCCGTGTGTGAGCCCCCCATCCCGGTGTCACCCCCTTGTCCCTCCCCACAGGGCTCCTGCCCCAGCTCCTGCTCCCCCAGAGAGTATTTGGAGAGGGGGCAGAGGGGGTGTACAGCCCCTGATGGGGGATGACCCCGGTCCAGCCCCTTTGTACAGCACCAAGCTGGGCTCGGGGCCGCAGCAGGAAGAGCCGATGGGAAGCAGATCCTGCAGCTGGGACAGAGCTTGGGGTCAGAGCAAGGCCCTGCCCTGCACAAACCATGATCCAACCTCTTTCACATCAGACCCCAAATGTTCACAAATGCAGTCTGGTGTGGTCTGTTTTTATACTGTTTTTCTGGCCCGAGGCAGAGTCTCTCTTGTTCTTTTCATTTTTAAAACGTATTCATGTTGTTTCCTTTCTTCGAGTTGGGCTGGACAATGTGGTTCTCAGCGAGCCATGAATTCTGATGGGAGGGTTATGAGAACTGGGTATTTGGATGCAAGTTCGTGATAGCTCTGGTTATGTTGATCTGGGTACTTGTTGAGTGCTGATGACCAGGTGTTCCTTGAGTAATGATCCATCTCCTCGCGAGATTTTTCGATTGTAAATTAGACTGTTCCTTGCTGCCCTTTGCGATTTCACAGTGGCATGCCACAGTCCCCCTGTATGAAGCAATCCCTCACCTCCAGCTTGTGGATCTTACAGAGCTTTTTGGGATATCTCTTTTAAAACATTACGACATATATTTTCATCATATTTCATACAAGCATGAATTACTTAAATTATATATTACACTCCTATCCTGGTGTCACCCCTTTTCCCTCCCCACAGGGTGCCTGACTCAGCTTTTGCTCTCCCTGGGAGGGAATTTGGGGAGGGGGCAGAGGAGGTGCACAGCCCCCACAGGGGTGTGACCCCGGCCCAGCCCCTTTGTGCAGCATCAAGCTGGGCTCGGGGCCGCAGCAGGAAGAGCCGATGGGAAGCAGATCCTGCAGCTGGGACAGAGCTTGGGGTCAGAGCAAGGCCCTGCCCTGCACACCTGGCTCAGGTGTGACCCTGCTCCAGCAAGGGAGTGGGACATTCCCATCCCCATGGATGCTGTCCCCAAAATCCCACTCTTGGGATCCCTCATCCGTCTCTGCAGTCCCTGCTCCAACATCTCCATGCCTTTGGGAAGAGCCCTGGTGCTGACAGAACTTGGATCAAAGTTACAAGGTGCTGATATAGCTTGGGTTATAAGATATCAATATAACCTGACATATCTATATAACCTAAGTCATGACTTTTTATATATCTGTATAATCTGATACCTATATAACCTGAATCATAGCTTTTTATACCTATATAACCTGAAATATAAATTTTATACCTATATAACCTGATCTAAATTACTTTCTATATTGTGTAATGGCTAGTATATGGTTAACTAGTTGCTTATGCTTAATAGACAAAAAAAGAAGAAAAAAATCCCTCACCAGACGGATAGCTTTAGAAATAAGTAAGCATAGTACTGATGAGAAATTCGCAAGTGCAAAGCCAATCAGCCACAAAACAAAGAATTTAGATTATCCGGTTAAGACCAGACAGATGAAGGAGCACCGTAACTGTGCATGCTCTGAAGACAAAGTTGAAAAGTTCAGATGTGAAGAAGACCTTGGAAGCCTTCATCACAGACCCCCCCACAGACCCGAACTGGGGAGGCACAAGGGCAGTGCAGAAGAACTGTCTGATAACCACGAGCTGATACCGTGTAAATGAGTTCCTGCGGGTATGTGATGATGTTGCAGTGACACAGTGACACTGAGCCACACCGGCTGTATAAATACACCACAGCACTGACAAAGGGGGATGAGTGAGGAGGAGAAACCCCCTCACCTCCAGCGATGCACTGAACAAATACCTGCTCTACAGACACCGGGCTGTGGGGATTCATTTCCAGCCTGTCTTTTGGGCATCAGCCCCAAGGGCTGGCGGTCCCCAGCCAGCCCCAGCTGGGACGTGCAGCCCTCAGTTTTCCCAGTTTGCCTCTCCTTTTCCCCGGGCTGGGTTCCCCCCGGCCCCAGCAGGTGGGAGCAGCCGAGAGCCCCGCGCTGCCCATCCCGACCTGTCCCGGCTCCAGCCCCGCTCCTGCTGTGGGCTGCGAGGGCTTTAGGAACGGGGGAGGAGGAGGAGGAAGGGAGGAAGAGGCGGAGCGGTAGCAGAAAGCAGCAGGAGGAGAGGGGAGGATGAAGCGCGGGCCTCCGGCGCTGCCTGAACTCACAGCACCCCGGGAGCATCGTCCCCCATCCCGCGGGTGCCCGGGGAGGGGGAGCTCACCCTAAATACCCCGGGGGTGCCTGGGTTTGGGGTTTTTTTGGGGGGGGATGTTTGGAGCTGGCAGGGCTCCAAAGCCGAGCTGCAGATGGCCCTCGGAGGGACATCGGGGGGTCCCCGGGAGGTGTTTTTGGGGGTCCCGGTGGGGGCGGGGGCAGCAGAGCCCCGGCGGGGGGACACCGGTTTTGGGGAGCCCCGGGAGAGCCACGGTTTCCCTGAGCGGGAGCCTGGAGAGAGGAGAGCCCCAGAAGCCAAAGGAGGATCCCGAGAGGAGGGGACCCCTGGCAGTGCTGGGGCTGGAGGGGGGCACAGCCGGGAAAGGGGTTCGGGGCTTGGGGGCCGGCAGGGGCTGCTCCCAGCATGAGCCCAGTGCTCCCCACGTGTGCTTCCAGTTTCCTTGGCACTCCCAGTATGAGCCCAGGCACTCCCAGTATGATCCTGGGCACTTCCTGTAGGATCCCTGTTGCTCCCAGTATGAGCCCAGTCACTCCCAGTCATTTCCCATTATGATGTCATTTGCCCCCAGCATGGTCCCAATTGCTCCCGGTTCCTCCCATGTTGGCCCAGTGTGTTCCCAGCTCTCCCAGTTGCCCCCAGCATAGTCCCAGTCACTCCCAGTATGAGTCCAGTATGATGCCAGTCTCTCCTAGCAGGGCCCCAGTCACTCTCACTTGCCCCCAGCTGCCCCCAGCGTGGTCCCAGTTGCCCCTAGCACATTCCCAGTAGCTCCCAGTGTGGTCCCAGTCCCTACCTGCATGGTCTCAGTCACTCTCAGTATATCCCACTTGCCCTGAACGTTCTCTTAGTCATTGCCAGGCACTCCCAGTTACCTCAGCGTGGTTCAGCTGCCCCCAGTTTTATCCCAGTCACTCCCAGTAGATTCCAGTTGTCACCAGCATGCATCCAGTCATTCCCAGCTCCTCCCAGTGTATCCCCAGTAGGCTCTCAGCGTGGGCCTGGTAGCTCTGAGTAACTCCCAGTCAGGGTCTATTGACACCCACTATAATCCCAGTATGATCCCAGTCACTCCCAGTATGATGCCAGTGGCCCCCAGTGTGATCCCAGTTGCTCCCTGTCAATGCCAGTGTGACCCCAGTAACCTTCAGTATGATCCTCATGGCTCCCAGTCTCTCCCAGTATATCCCAGTCACCCCCAGCATGTTCCCAGCCACTCCCAGTTCCTCCCAGTTGCTTTCAGCATGATTCCAGCTGCACACAACCACTCCCAGTCAATGCCAGTATGATTCCAGTCACCCTCAGTATGATCCCAGTCTTATCCAGCATGGACCCAGCTGCTCCCACTGTCTCCAGCATGTCCAGTCATTCCCAGTTCCTCCAGTTTGCTTGCAGCACAATCCCAGTTTCTCTCAGTTGCTCCCAGTAGCCTGAAACGTGATCCCAGTTGCTCCCTTTCAACAGCAGTATGAGCCCAGTAACCTCCAGTATGATCCCAGTCATGTGCCAACACTCCCAGTATGGTCCCAGTAACTTCCAGTCACTCCCTGTATGGTCCCAGTATAATCCCAGTTACTTCCAATCACTCCCAGTATGGTCCCAGCTGCCTTCAGCTAGATCAACCCAGTCATTACCAGTATGATGCCATTTGCTCCCAGCGTACTCCCAGTTGCTCCCAGTCACCCACAGTATGGGGGATGATGTGCATGGTATGTTCCCAGTCACTCTCAAATACTCCCAGTATTAGTCCAGTCACACCCAGTATGATCCAGAGATGACACCAGTGTGGTCCCAGTCACTGCCAGTATGAACCAGTTGTGTTCCACATGGTTCCAGTTGCTCCCTTTCACCCTCATTTTTCTTCCAGTCACTCCCAGTCTCTCTCAGTGTACCCCAGTTCCTTCCAGCATATTCCCAGTCACTCCCAGTTCCTTCCAGCATGATCCCATTTGCTCACAACCACTTCCAGTCAGCCTCAGTGTAGTTGCACTCCCAGTCACCTCCAGCATGATCCCAGTTCATCCCAGTATAAGCCCAGTTACTTCCAATCACGCCCAGCATGCACCCAGTCACTCCCAGTTCCTCCCAGTTGCTCCTAGCATGATCCCAGTTGCTCACAGCTGCTGCTGGTCACCCTCAGAATGCTCCCACTTGTTCCCAGTATATCCCACTTGTCCCCAACATGGTCTCAATTGCCCCCCGCAGGCTCCTACTTGTCGCCCTGTTTTTTTAAGTTCTTCTACGCCTTCTGATGTTTACATTCTTGTAACAAGCTTTCTCACGCACTTTATGTAAATAACTTACTGTTTTGCATTCTTTTATGGAGGAGGAGAAGTTTGATGGACTGTCGGTTTGCCCAGTGTCATTGGAGAGGTGGCACTGTCATCCTCCAATCCACTGTCACTTTTGGAAATCTATAAATGTTGGAGTCAGAATTCAACTTTCCCTCTTTTCTTTCCTTGGAGATGCCGGCGTCCGCGTCGTTCCATTTCGTGTCCTAGAGCGACGTCTGGTGACTGCCGAGGTGCACTGCAGCCTAGGCTGGCGGCACGGGGCGCGCTGACCGCAGCGTGTGGGACAGCCCTGGGTGAGGTCGTGGCGTTTACCCCCTCCCTGTGCCGGCACGGTGACTGTGAGCTGTTTGGCACTTTGCCTGCAGCTCTTGGGATAATGGCAACCCCTGTGGGTTTCATTGCGGAGTCTGTGGTTTTGGACCTCTGGAGGAATTTCCTGGAGTGGAGCCAGGTCTTCATTGCCTGGAGTGATTTTGAAAGATTATTTCTGTGGGCCAAACAGCAAGGGTTTTTTTCAGACCCTGCGGAGGCGCTCTCCAGGGAGGTGTGGGCTCTCGTGGGACGCCGTCTCATGGAAGCCCTGTCTCATGATTGCTCTGTAGACGTGAGACCGCTGCTGGTGGAGTGGAAAAAGTTGGACGCGATTTGCCGGGGGTCTGGATTTTGTAGCTCTCGGAGTCCCCAGGGGGACCCTTC